GAAACATCAAATGAAAGAGAAAACAAACTGAAATTTTTAAGTAGAACTGACCAATGTACAAATTCTATATTTATATTAATTATAATTACATCTTATAATTTAAAATATATATAATTATAGATTAATATAAATATACATTTACATTAATATATATTAATATATATTTAATGTATATAATACATAAAATTATATATTGTACATTAAAATGTAAATATGTAATGTAAATGAAATATATAAATATATAATGAAAATAGATCAATATATAATGTAATATATAAATATATAATGTAAATACAAAATACACTTATATCTCACAATGCAATCGATATTTCCATAAAATACATAACTGTTTTTCCTATACTTGTTGGTAGTTTTTAGTTTTACACTTCGGGGACTAAAGATCAGGAAATGACCTTCGTAAAATGTAGGCTAGAAACCTGATAACACATACACTTAATTTTTGAGGGGAAAAAAAAAACCTAAAGAGCATACAAAATGAATGGTTTAGAAATAGAATGTGCACTCAAGTGTGTTTCTACATTTAAGTAAAAAGTGTTTCTCCTGCCCTTTTCTCCTCTGCTGTTCTTTGATCCTCTCCACTTCCACTTCATTTCTTGTATAATGCTTCAGACCTGCAGTTATTTGCAGTCATGTTCTCATTATGGCCCCATCTCATGATTTTCTTTCCTCTGTCTACAAACACTCCAAAATGTTCTCTTTTGGTGAAAATAAACAAACAAATACAAATCTCTAAAACCTTTCCTTTATTCTGCTAGACCCATGAGTTTGTTTCTTTCATTCTTACTCTACAAAAAAAAATTTAAAATTTTAACAGAAGGACTGCAACTGTTTCATTAGAACACCATAGAGTGGAATGCATGCTACCCTGGAATTAGACTTTACCATGTAGCCTTAGCTGTGTAATATCCGGAAAAATCACTGTACATATGAGCCTCTTTTCTTTCCCGTGCAATAGAGATGCTACTAACAAGGTTTTGAGAATGAGAAGATGCTTTAATTTTCTTCATTTTTTAAAAAGTGGCCAGAATGCATGTGTATTCATCAGAGAGAGACAGAGAGAAAGGAAGGGTGGGGGAAGAGAGAGGGAGGGAGTGCGCACCTTCTACCAGGGCATGGTTATGGCCAGGCCTAATCCCTTCTCCATTCCTTAATCCTCTCCAGGATTTTAAGCACACGTACTACACACCTAGTGATTTTCAAGTTGAGAGGGCCAGAATTTGAAATTTGGTCAGACAGGTAGGATTTGGCTCCCCTAACCACCAAGCTATGGGCCTGCCTGAAAAAGATGACTATGTGATTTATCTAATTCTCACAGTAAATTGATGAGGTATTATTGTGACTTCTCAGTCTCTGAAAACTCAACAGAGTTGGTTAGTTTATTTGCTTTTGCTTTTTTGTTTATTTCTTTAAAGCTTATATAAGAAACATAAAGAAGAAAAAGAGCATACTGTTACCTTTGCCACTTTTTATTCTTAGTAATAAACATATAAAGAAATAGTAAGTTAGAAAGCTCACTTAAGACATGGTTTTAACACTTTTCTGTATACCTTGGAGAGTCTAGGATATTCTTAGAGACTGCCATGAGAAAAGAGAAGGGGAGATGACAACAGGATTTCTAGCTCTAGGTTCAATTTTAAAATATTAATTTCCTCCCCTTTAGACATAGTTTATTAGTGAGAGAAATGATTTTATTGACTGAAATAACACATAGAAATCTTCTGATCCAATGCAAATGATAATAAAGGGTGGATAGCTAAAGCTTTGTCCTCTGCTGTGCCTGCAGTTTCACTGAAGAGATGGCTGGAATTTTAAGGGCTTCTCATCACCAGAAATGTATCTCCTCTAGTGTGTGTGAGCGGAGAAGAGGTGGTGCTGACATTGACCTGCAAGTTCCATAAAGCCTACACATCACCTTTGTTCTATCATCTCCAGTGATTTGTTCAGCATGCCAACATTTAAAATTTTTACAAGTATGACCAAGAAAATTAGCTTTTAAGTGTATAGGACAGACCCAGCCCTGGTAGCACCAGCGGTAGGGCACTGCTAAGAGTAGGGCCAGCAGACGGTATAGCGGTTACATCGTTGGACTCCCACACAGCTGACCATGGTTCAGGTCTTGCACCTAGTGGCTTGAAAATCACGCTGCGTGTATATGTGTGCATGCCCCAAATCCTGCGAGGATAATGGAGAAGAGATTGTGGCATGGCCATCTTCCCGGGAGGTAATTTCTGACTTTTCCTCTCTCTCTGCTTCTACCCTTATGTAAACGCATGTGTCCTAAGGCAAAAACCTCTAAAAAAAAAAA